CTGACGTCCAATAGCTCCTTCAATTTCCGCCATCTTGGCAAGGAGTGTGCCGACATTTCATATTTTGACATCGATTTAAAGACCAACACTATGATTTTATGAACTGATAACTTTGTTAGCGATACGATCCGTTGCGATACGTCAATGGCGGAATGGCCACCATCTTGTCTTCACTTTCTCATCGAATGACTGAAGTTCTTACTCCAGATATATATATATATAGAGCTCACTGGGCCCAAAAACTCGACTTCCAACTCGGTTTTAAACTCGCTGTTTCCAGGGGCGGATCTAGCCTCATTTACAAGGACATGAGGGAGCCATCTTTTACGCTGGTGCTGGACTTCTCTGGCCGCTAGACACCACTAGGTGGAGTGCGAACCCCCCAGCACCCTCAAGGTAGATCCGCCCCTAGCTGTTTCCTTGTCATTTTTGTTGTGAAATGACGAATAGGATCGGTGTTTCTTGGTTTCCAAGAAAAAACGTTAAATGCTTGCAAATTCAGGACGCTATGAAGGAATGTATTCCCATGGTCGTGAATGCATAACTCAACCAATTTTTTAATAGACAGGATTTGACTTCCACTACCGCTACCTTTGACGGCTCCATTGGTAGCGGTCGCGACGGACTGTTTAGACCTGTTCAGATCGCTTTGTTACGGTCCCAAAACAAAAACATGCGACGATTTCCTCACGCTCTTGCAGTTACTGCGCATGCGTAACACATTTAAGGTAGCGGTAGTGGTAGTGGAAGTCAAATCTGAATCTGTCTAATAACTGCAAGCACATGATACCGTTCGCGCTACCTCTTCCGCAGGCAGTAACGAACTCCCTAATTTCGTAAGGCAGGTTACGTCCGTTTGCAGGTTGGAAATTTGTCACCCGCCTGCATGTTCACTCCCTAAGTTTTGAAACACCTGCGGAGGAGGTAGCCTTTGTCATATTATTCTTGACTGTACTTCTCTTGCTTCCGAGAAAACGGCATGGTCACGATGATTTTAACATGTCTCTGTTTTTCCCAACACTCCAACAGAGATATGGTTGACCAACATTTTGACACATACCATGCCTTTTGAAGTTAACAGCATTACGTATTTAATCTGAATCGTACCTGAACATCATCCCTTCACCATTCCTATTCTGTATGTTAGCTTCGACTCTTGCATCAAAAACGCGATATACTACGTATCATGCCTTTGCCGTGCTTGCATCAGAGATTTCAACGCCCTTGCTCTGAACTCTAGTTCCAGTAACTGCGACTCTGTGTCCGCTGCACTCTTATCTTCTGGACTGTCCACTGCTTTACCAGGATTGTCTTGACCTGAAATAATATCTGAAAAATCAAAGGTGAACCTTCAGAGGAGTGCAGAGGTTGCAGAATCCTTCCCAGTCATCCTCGTTCCCAGAGCCTCTTGGCCGCGCACGACCTTCATAGAAAATGGGTTAAAAGAAACATGAGAAAATAATCTTGCAATTGTATATACCTTCTGGGGCAGCATTTTTCACTGGCTCTTCAATCAGTGCATCAATTTCATCCTGATCCGGTCCAACACTTAATTCCTCCATTATGTTCACTGATTCATCCTTAAATTTACAACATATAATTAAGTCCTCACATCGCTTTTCTGGGACAGCTGGTTAGTTTGGTGGCACATACTACCAAAACCATGGATCATAGAAATAATAGACATAGAATGCGTGCTCCTATCTCTTCTCAGTAAAAGTTTTGTCTCCACAAAATGGCGGATTTATAAGGGCATTTTGGCTAGTCCTAGACTCCTGCGGGAAAGAAATTCGCGCGGTTGCAGGAGTGCGCGAATTGTTTTTTTCAACAAAGTTTGCAAAAACAATTATATCGAGACTTGAAGTGGAAAAAAAGCTTTTTTAAAGGAAAGAAATCCATTCCCGTGGGTTTTTTTACGAAAAGCAATAGTTCGGAACAGAATATATACAGAAATCGTTGTTTGAAAATACATTTTCAACGTTGTTGTGCAAGCCAAAACAAAACACGAAAAATCAAGACAAACTCAAACTCAATACGGGTATGTTTTAAAAAATATATTTCAACTGTTTTATAATATAAATGGGGTTCAATAATCTTTTTAAACTTACACAACTACTTTTTATTTTTTTCTATACATTGCTTGAGCTTGAGGCAACGCTTTACTTTTGAAACCATAGTTTTCGACGATTATTTAATAGGCGATTTACACTTTATCGACATCTAAATATTTTTGTTTCAAAAACATGAAAACACTTCGTTTAGATTGAAGAAAAACGAAACCGGACGAAGAATGAACTATCATTTCGTAATTTCATAAAATATTAGCAACACAGTTACGTTTAGAGCATGCAAAAATGTTTTATGAGTAAATTATATTTTATATGCGAAACTACTTTGTTTTTACAAGGCTGCACGATTTTCACCGTTTTTGTAACAGTACATTTGCTTTGAGCCTTTAAAGAACTTAATATTTCAAATTCTATCCCCAAACTACAAATACAAAACGTTTTGACGATGAAAACTTTATAGTTTTAGCTTTGTTTATACTTTGTAGTTTGCACTCCTGCTCAAATTCAACATGGCGGATTTATAAGGGCATTTTTGTTTTCAATTTGGATACCGGTCACGTGACCAAGCACGCATTCTAGGTCTAATATTTCTATGCCATGGATGCTCCCTCATGTCATGTTTTCTTGTCAAAACATTTAATAGGAAGGCGACTACATTCCTACACCTATTTGTTAAAATGTGAACTATTTTTAACTATGTCAATACAATTTTTTGTGCACCAAACAGACATCGCCATTCCCAAGGATATTAGGAACGCGGTCACATATTTCTGGATGTTTTGACACGAAAACATCGCACATTTTTTTTCGAGCGGGAGGAAGGATTCACGGTTTTGGTAATACTGATGTTGCCGGTCTACCTACCTCGCGAGTATCTGGTGCTGGTTGACTTGCTTCCACGACAGAACTTTCTTGAACAACCTCCATTGCAGACACAACATTTGCAGCGTCGTGTCCACTTTCAGATGAAGACGAATTCATTTCTTGCCCTTCAATTATTCTCAGTAACCTTTTCTTGGAAATTATTTCAAGTTGATCCAAGCAGCGAGATTTTAATTCGTCCACGTCCAATTTCTGGATCAAATTGAAAATAAGTATTGATTGTGAAAAAGTTAAACACCAGAAATCAAACCTGTGGCCCTGTGATTCTGGTGCATTGCTCTGACCAACTGAGCTACAGAGACACAGTTATCGAGCTCTAACCACAAGTTCATATATAAATACTACGTAAGGTGATGCCAATGTACAATGTACGGGTAAATATCCCCCAGCATCTACAAATCCCTTGAACAATGGATGATTCCAGCCATAGACTAAATTATGATCTAGGCAAGAAGAAAATCCATCACAACAGCTAGAAAGAATATGTTAAAATGAGTAAAATTACAAAGTTTGGCCGCGAAATATGGTATAACGCGGAAAATATAGCCCTGCGAAATTTGCAAATTTTATATTAATTTGTATTACGCACGGGAATTTGCACCACTTTCGGCGCAAATGTGGCGCATTTTCCCGCGCGTAATACAAATTAATACAAATATTTCGCGGCCAAACTTTGCAATTTTACTAATTTTAACATGCTCTTTCTAGCTGTGTGGTGATGGATTTTGTTCTTCTTGCCTAGATCGAAATTTAGTCTGTAGCTGAAATTGCATATTAGGCCAATGAAAATTGATATCATGTTTCTCGTCCACAATTTTCAAAAATTTGGAGCGGGATTTTTTCATTTTTCATTATTTTTTGTATTTGAATTCTGCTTGTCAATAATTTCCTTGACCCATAAAAATCTGAAGTAAATCGGTGTATAATTCATTTTAATCTAATACGTCCTACTCTGCAGTATACTTCTACGCATACCAGGGCTGACATGAAAAATAGAGGCATTCTGGTGAGTAATGTCTTTAGAAAGATACAATTTGAGTTGCGCTGCAGAATGCAGCAATAAGACTTTGATCTGGAGATCAATTTGGTGTTTTGTTAAGCCTATTTTTCAACAATAATAATGAAAAATTTTCGTGCGGCAGATAAAACCCATGCGGGCGGGGACGACCGGACGAGAAACATGATATCAATTTTCATTGGCCTTAGTTCTATCGAATGAGATGACCATAATCCTGATGTTTCCCCTCACATATCACTAACCTTAACAGATTTTGGCATCAACTTTTTCATTTGTTTTCTTTCTAATATCTTAAAAAGTTCATTATTCAATTCCTTTCTATCATCAATATATTCAGTCAAAGGTTTAATGTCTATCACAAATTCCTTGTCATTCTTCCGTTTTGCTTCTGGTCCTTCATCATCCCCTGATGCAGCACTTGAATTGTTTGTCGAATCTGATTGTTGGTCATCATGATCTGACGTTCTATCTTCAGAATGTTTTCGTTTTCTTTTCTTCGATCTGAACAATTTTAGATATTGAGTATATACTGTACAAAGGGTGTAAAAACAGGAGTCCATTTCTTAAGGTTTTAATTGGGGCTCTTTGAAAAGTCATGTTAGCTGGCAACTAATATTAACTTATTGACCACTTGCACCTACTTTCCTGTGCAAAAATTTGCTCATAATGAAAACAACTGAAGTTCTTTAGTTCTACTGAACTGTAGATACCCCAAATCCTAATATTTATCCATATATCTTACACTGGACTCTGTAGCTCAGTTGGTTAGAGCACTTCGCCAGAATTGCAGGGCTGCAGGTTTAATTCATGCCAGAGGGCCTAGATAGTTGCACTTTTGGCAGCTGCTCCAGCAGACATTCCAACTACTCGAGGTAAAATTTAGGGAGACTGTTCAGTGAATTGAAATCTAGTTCTTCTGGGAAAAAAATAATAAAAATTAGTCTTCTGAAATGGCATTCCTGCATTTTGGGACTATGTTGTTATAAGTGATCCTATATAAATTGCCATAAAGCAACTTCAAAAAAGGTCAAGACAGACTATTATGTTGCTAAAAACAATTTTCGGGAGACTCCCGGTAAAATCAGGAGAGTTGGAATGCCTGTGCTCCGGTTAGGTCTGAAAATGGTTACAAATGTCGTAAACATTTAATCTTTTCAGTTTTTCAGGTAGCTCTGTGTTCCAACCTAAATCAACACAGTATATAAGGCCCGTTTTACCGTTTACACTTGCAATTTTTCTCCTTCTGATGCATGTGAACGAGTAGATGAGTTACAAATGTGTGGAGTACATGTACCCACATCTGAACATTCATAAGTTATCCACTTGTTCACATCCATCAGAAGAAATTCGCACCTAAAATCGGAGCAAAATTTACAAGTGTAAACGAGCCTATAGAAAATATTAAAGAAATACGAATTAAAATACGATGATTATTAAATATTGTTACAACATATTAAAAAGATGATTATAAGATTATTGTTACAACTGTCGAATGAATAATACATAAACAATTAACAATTGATAGAAGTCATAAGATACTTTTAATGACAGAAACAACCTCAACAAATAATCAAATAG